CCCTACTGCAACGAGCGGACTTCGGGTAAAAAAAAAATATTATTTCTTTGGGCCCGAAACTTGCGGCAACGTGCGGACTTCTGGAACCAAAAAAATAGGTCCTTTTTTTTCATTCTACAGTAAAATAATTAACCTGGGGTGTTAGCTCGGTTCGATCTCTTCTGAACCGCGGTTATACCGCGGCTATATAAACTTAAGCCCTTCTTAGCCCCTCATAAAAAAAGTCTCCATTTTTCTCCTTTCGTCTTGAGAAATCAGAATGCACAACGGCTGCCCGAAACCCGCTACCGGGGTCTCTGGTTCTGGTTCCGGTTCCGGCTCCGGCTCCGGCTCCGGGCTTCCTGGAAGCGGTCCCGTCTCTCTCTATCTTTTTTCTTTTATAAACTTAATTTGATGCATTTTTGGGCGAATTACACGGTCGCAGATTCTGTTTTGCTAGTGATATCGGTGTAGTTTTTTCGTTAGTGATCAGACGCTAGTTGGAGCGGCTGGGTCTCCGGATCCCGGCAGGAACCCAGCATTAGATTTCCATTGTTGCATATTATAGTTGCCTTAGGCTAGCTAGCCTGGCTGGAGCATATGAGCTTAATCCTCAACAGACTCAGCCCTAAGGCTAAGATCTGGTCATGCGTGGCTTGGGTTCATCTACTCAATCAGGTTAGTCGCAGCCGAATCGTCTTCGGAGAGGGAGCACTTGCAGCCACTCAAATCTAAGACAGATTCACAAGCAACTGCCTTTATATTTTCTTCTTTTTTTCTGTTTGATTTTTTCTTTTATGCCATATATATTTTTCCTTTTCCATTTTGTTTGATGCTAATAGTTTATTCGATTACATCTTTGTCTACTGAATTACTTACAATTTGTTAATTTCTTCCAAAGAAGATACTAAAAAATTTGAAAATTATCTTTGTTGGATGCAGATGATGGTAGAGAAAGGGACAATAAAGATCATAACAGAAACAAACGTCAACTGCTTCATGTATCTAGATTTAATATTGCAGCGGATTTACCTGGTTTATATTTTTCTTACAAACTTTGATATATTTGTACCATTTTTTCAATTACAAGGAAACAAAGGATGCTCGGAAGAAGCTGAAAGCATCAAAGGAAGAGCTAGCTATCAGCATGGAGTTGCTAGCAGGCCTTGAGTCTAGAATCAACCAGATAAGGGTGGAAAACTATCTCCTGCTTTGGGAGATGGCTCTTCTTGACGCCCTTGTTGAAGATTTCTTGGATGATATAGATCCCCAAGGTGATTGATAGACAAACCCTATCTTTTAAATATAGGGTTAGATCAATAATATATTTATAGGTATGTGTGTGAGTGTGCTTGTTCTCTTTATAGAGTATATAAGCTGCACCCAAGTTTTTTTTGGAGTGCATGCAATAACAATTTTCATGTGTATTTGAAAGAAAATTGTCAGAAGAAGAAACACACCAATTAATGAAATTATATATGTTTTAGAGTATATGTTTATTTCGCTGGCCGCCTTTGATCTTGAATTTCTTCTCTTTCTATAATTAGTTAGCATTGTAATTTTTTCTTTGGGTGCAACAACATATATAGTCAATTGAAATCAAATTGAGTATATTGATCCGATCAATGAATTTTGATTAATTTGCACGTATTTCAGTTGAAGCAGTTAAATTCCCTTGAGCCTAAGTTGTTTTGGAAAGAAGGAAAAACACTGATGAGATCATTGAGCTAACTACCATGCTTTCTTCTTCCAGTAAGCTTCTACAATTGAATAAGCTCTAAGAAGCTGGGGCTAGCTAATGCATGTTATGTCATGCATGCAGAATATATATATATATATATATACACACACACACTTATTCTTCGTTCGGTTATTACCCCATTTTTTCATGCATCCAATTAAATTCCAAATATATATATGCATGTTTCTTGCTAGATGATTCGTCATCTGATCACTATCTAAATGATTGAATGTCATTTTAATTAATTGCTAGATCTGTCAAAAAACATTTTGAACATTACAATTCTTTTCTCCCTCTTCTAATGAGTTTGTCTAAATTAAAGAGCAAACATCTTGGCTTGGATAGAGATGATACTAACTATTCTATGAGACCATATCTTTTTTGGCACACTCATTGATTGAAGTACAGTTTAGAATACAACACAGTAAATTCTAGAGGATGGTAATTTTTTTAATTTGAAGAAAGTAAAAATACAATCCTTTTCTTATACACTTGTGCAGCTTGTACCTTTTTATTGTTGGAACTTAGAAGACTACCACTTTGGTTCAGCCTATTTTTGCGCCTCAACGGTTTTCTTAGTACATCTAGTAATAAGGGATCGATAATCTTTCCTTTTTGAACCTCCAAATCTCTAATTCTCAAGCCTTCAATTGAAATACCAACTCTCAAAACCTCAATATAATTGCCATTTACTAAAACTTTTTATTGAAGGTTGAGGAATAATTAACTGTTGTTAAAAACCCATAAAAAGAAAGAAATTATTGTAAACAAGTTAAAAAATTACAAAAAAAAAAAAAAAAAAAAAACCATCAAAAGCTAGGGACCAAGTTAAAGCCAAATAAAAATAAATGAGGACTAAACCTTATAAAACGCCCTAAGAAAGAAGACGGGATTATAGACAATTACCCATAAATAGATGT